ATATTTTACACATTATTTATGGGGCGCGCGGTAGCGCAGTTGGTTGAGGCACAATGCTACAAGCCGGAAGGTCGCGGGTTCGAGTCCCGATGAGGTGAATTTTTCAATTGACCTAATCCTTCCAGCCGCACTACGGCCCCGAGGTCGACTCAGCCTCTAACAGAAATGAGTACCAGGAATCTTCCTTGGGTGTAAAGGGCAGCCGGCGCGTAAGGCTGACAGCCTTACCGCCATCTGAGAGCCGATTGTCTAGAGAAAATGTGGCGGCCTCGAAGTCTCATAACCCTATGGGCCTTCACGGACTGTTACAGGGATAGCTTTACACATTATCTGTACCTTTAACTCCTATTTCCTCTCCATACGAAATCCTTCCAGTGTTTCGTTAGTTACCGGCAACAACCAGAATAACCAATTCCGAACAGCCTTAATTTTGTTCTTTTATATTCTACAAAAAGAAATACTTTTAAAAAATCTGAATATTTTTAGAAGTCTATTACATCGTTCTGAAATCCTAGACGTGGAGGTGGCGTCGCTCCCGCCTCACACGTTCGTGCACATTATTCGAATACTGAACTTCCTCAACACTGGATGAATACTGGATGTCATATTTGGGGGAAATAACTTATGAATCAGATACGTCAGCCGAACCACGATCATAAATTTTTAAAGAAATATAACCTAACAACAGGAGACACAAAGGAACTTTTTTTTTCAGCGGCTCATCCAAAATAATTATTGCGCCGTTTCGACAGCACATGGATGCACGTTTTCTGAGGCCGGATGTGCTTGTTCTGCAACGGTAATGCGGTACCTAGCTCGCAGAAAGTAACGCTTGTATTTTCATCGTCAGGTTTTTGCAGTTCTGGTTATTAGGTTTCTGGAATTTTTGGTGAAAGTGCCTTCTCGAAGAAAAAACCTTTCTTTGCTTGTACATTCTGGTGAATAATTTCAGGTTGCCTAAGAAGTTCGGCAGGAAACATGGAACTGCTCGATGACACTCTGTTACATTAGGCGCACGCCGAAGACACATAGTGTTCACAATACACTTCCGCTCAGTACTACTTACTGCACCGGTAGCTGTGTCACTGAGTGAAACTAACGCTGAGTCCGGATCATTGCAATCGGCGCAATGATATTTTTGAGGCCTCAGATTCGACTGGCGCATCGGTTCCAGCTGCAGCTGCCCTTGACTTTTACAATGCTTTACACAATCTCACTTTAGCCACCGATCCATAACAGCATACATATTTAACTACAAAAGCGGGTTGTGAAAAAGCTAACGTAATGAACGTGGTTAGACCACTCAGGATTACTGGGTTCTTGGACTCTGTCCATCGTCTGGTACTCTAAAAACACAAACGAATATAGCGTTTCGGAAACTAAATTTGTTTCCGTCCTTAGGTGAGAAGCGTGGCCGCGCCATAGCTCAAGCGGTTACTCGGTAGCTTCCCACCGCGGGGGACCCGGGTTCGATCCCGGGGTCTGGTCAAGTGGGATTTGTGGTGGACAAAGTGGCGCTTAGGCAGGTTTTCTCCGAGTACTTCGGTTTCCCCTGCCAATCTTCATTCCACCAATTGCTCCACAATCACCCTCACCTACCATCTGGGGCTGGTACAATAGGCCAGAAGTGGCCGCAGTACAAGGGACTTAGTCCCACCCCAATAGCAATAAAAAAATAGGTGATGGGTAAGAGACACATACTCTAGTGTCCGTCGGAAAGCGCTAACCTCTCTCTTTATAACGGATCCAACAGAGTTGGTGTCTCCCACCCTTCATCTGTGGACGGAAACAGATCACTTATCCGAAACGTTGTGTTATTTTGTGTTTTTAGAATACCAGACGACGGACAAAGTACAGAGACCCAGTAATCTTGAGTAGCCTAAGCAAGCTCTTTACTTTACGGGGATAGGAAGAACAGACATCACATAACATGAAAATAATAAATGACGCACATTAATAATAAAGTAAAAGTAAAGTAAATGTATCCCTGTAAGAGGGCGTGGAGGCCCATAGGGTTGTGAGATGTCGAGGTTCCCACATTTTCTACACAATCGGCTCATAGATGGCGGTAAGGTTATCAGTCTTACGCGCCGGCCGCCCTTTACCTCCAAGAATATTCCTGGTACTCATTTCTGTTAGAGGCTGAGTCGACCCCAGGCCCATAGTGCGGCTGGAAGAATTAGGTCAATTGGGAAAAAAATCCAATTACCTCATCGGGAGTTGAACCCACGACCTTCCGGCTTGTAGCATAGTACCTCAAGCAACTACGCTACCGCAATACTACTGACAAAAGTTCACAGTGCAGTGGACTCAAACACGACCAAAAATACAATGGCTTAATTTCACACACACAAAAAAAATTGTAGTGTTAGTCTGATCTCCAAGTGAATACAATAGGACTACAATTTTCACAAAGAAAGAAAATCTAAGCAAGCGAACCTTAGCATTATACTAGGATTTATCAGCTTCGCATAAGTAACCTGAGTCCTATAGTTTTCTTTTCCCTTACTGTTTATTTACTTGATTATTTAACATTTATGGGTCAAGTAATGTTAATTAATGTGTAATGGGAAAAAGAATATGGTATTGCTTCAAAAAGGCCAAGCAAAACAAGTGAATGTCTCAATTAGAATATCAGGCCTTTCCGTCGTTTTGATACCTCATTTGCATATTAAGAATCTGGAATGTAATAAAAATTACGCCGGATAATATTGAGTGTGCCGGTCACGGTAGCCGAGCGGTCTAAGGCATGTACTGTCTTCGCTCGCTTGGTAACCGGGATCTTGGGTTCGAATCCCACTCAGGGCATGGATGTTTAGTTTGTGTGTGTGCGTTTTTCTGTGTTTGTGTACAGGTAGAGGCCTTGCGACGAGCTGATCACCCGCCCAAGGAGTCCTACCGAATGTGTAAGATCTAGAAAAACCGAAGTGAACGGAGAAGTTCATGGAGGTAGGCCTAGGCCCACTGGGGCTGTAGTGCCAAGAAAAAAAAAATGAATTGAGTGTCCTTTAATATAGAGATACTAAAGAAACAGAAAATGATTGCAGAAGTTACACCAACGGCATGCATATTACTCTGTATCAACTGACTGAGAGGTATGGCGACTGGGTAACATGCCGACTGTTTACTGAGGAGACAGGCCCGGAGACTGGCTATCCCCACTGAGGTGTTTCGTCGTTTTCCCCTGTCACTCCAGGAAAATGCTGGGACAGTACTTAAAATCAGGCCGCTGGTGCTTCCGTTCATATTCTTCCAGTATATTATTCACGACTCACCCTACTAATCGTACAGATACTGCCAGCGCTACTGACAGCGTCGTTAAGTAACATCCGTACACGCCTGCCGGACCAATGGCAAGCAATCGTAAAAATAAGATTGTTGTTACTGCAGCTTACTGGAAGCTTAAGCCATTACATGTTAATTTATTGCTGCAGACTGACCACCAGAATTTAAGCTGTATATACCCAGCCAATTTACTGCAACCGTATTTAATTTTTGTCGATCACAGTAAGCACGAACTGTGAGTTCGAATACAGCTCAAGACATGCATGTATGTACTGTGTG